CTATCCAACTTATTTGCTGCTGGAAAGGGCCAAGTCTCCTGCCATAGGTCCAGGACGTATCATTCATTTTGGGTCTTAGATAAAAACTAAAGGAAAATAAAAGTTTATGGACTGACCAATGCATTCAACCTGTAGTTAGAGCCAATATTTAAACCTTCTCTACAAAGAATGAAATATATTACACTTACAGGTCTATTTATAAACAATTTGCAGGGACCTTCACCCTACGAATATCTGTCAATGTTAATTTTGGGAAAATCATGCCAAAAACAAATGTTCTTAATATATACAGTTTGAATATAGTGTGTTTAAATAATACACTATGGGCACTAGATGGAGCATATTAGCATAGTAAATAAGTATTTATTTCCTGGGCTCCTTAGCTCCATCTAGTGGCCATAAAATGTTATAACAATGCTCTTCATTCGAACTTGGAAAAAACGATATTATAAAAAAAAAAAATTGGGGGGCATTTTTTACTTAAAATGAACATGCATGCACATTCGCAGGGCAAAGGACCATACCATCAAATTTAATTTGATTCCTTCTGAGTTTACCAAAATTAAAGCTGTGGGTGGCCATGTAGGCACTATCTGGCTCAAAAAAAGGGTTGATTTGAAGTCGAATGAGCCAGTGCCATTTTATCAGATGCAGTCACTATTCGGGTATTCACATAGCCATGAGTGCTACAGCTATCTGAATACAATAGCAAAGCAGATTCCCCTATCCTCACTGTTTAGCCCTGTGTGTTGAACAAGAGAAATCTAATTGTGTATGGCTAGCTTTACCTTCACTTCATACATTATAGGGTGTATTTCTAAAATGCTCTCAGAGCTGCTGATTCTGCAAAAGTCTGACTTTTACATTTGCACTACATTATAGCTGCTAGATAGAGCCGTGGAGCATAGGAAACTGCTATGCTCTTCAGCTCCATTTAGCGGTGTGAAAAAATATGTAAATCTCAGATTTTCACAGAGCGAGTGGCTCTGCGAACGTTTTAGTAATACACCCCTATGTGTTTTATCTGAGGTGAGCATATAAAGAAACACAGTTACATGTTTAATACAGTTGAGAAGACACAAAATCCATCAAATTCAACCTGTTCCTAAAGCATGCATCCAAAAACTGATGTCTTCTTTGTCAGCGTTTACTAATTGGCAGAATCAATCACTGACACCCTATATTGGCAAGACTTTACTTCCCCCAGCCTTATTACATACTCAGTAATATAAAATTAATGAAGTGAATTCCCCATGTGGAAGCAGCACAGTGGCTTAGTAGTTAGCACTTCTTCCTTATAGCAATGGGGTCCCCTGTTTGTATCCTGGTCAGGACACTATCTGCATGGAATTTAAATGTTCTCCCTGTGCTTGCGTGGGTTTCTTCCATGTATTCCGATTTCCGCCCACACTCCAAAATCATGCTGGAATGTTAATTGGCTCCTGTCTAAATTGGCCTTTATGTGTGTGCAAAATGGACCTTAGATTGTAAGCTTCTTGACAGCAGGGACTGATGTGAATGTGCACTATGTAAAGTGCTGTGTAAATTGTCCACTCTATATAAATACCTGTAATTAATAGGACAGGTCTAGCTGAGAATTAATGTGCCGAAATACAGAGTGCAAGCTAAAATAATGCAAGCACCTGCATCACTGGTATGGGTTTCTATAATTAGAGAGTTAGGAGGGCATGCAAACCTTGGTAGACGGATAAGGCATAGCTTAGCCACAAGCTCAAGCATCAAAGCATTGTCTATAATGTTCCAAGTGTCTATACATTCAGGTCTGGGCGCCATGGTGAGATGCTGAGATCTACTATAGGAGTGTGGCAATGGCGGGATCAGCTTTAGCGTTGCAGCCTGCAGCTGCACAAATAGTGGAACACTTCTGACTTATCCCTACTCTATACATCAATGTTATGACATTCCTGGGATTAAGCCCTCCTAGTGGATGTACAAATATATGGAAATGACTGCATTATTGATATGAAATCATTTATCATGTACAAAGCGCCTTCCAAATATGAAAGCTTAATGAGCTTCTTTCATTTTCTCAGTTTCTAGCAGCGTTCAATTGAAATTTGAAACGAAAAGTAAATGCATAAATCCCCAGCCCTCCTGGTTTATCCGTAATCAATATTCCTCCTGTTGTCTTTCTCCCTGGAAATACTTCTCCCAATCGGCTTAACAGACTTTACACAAATACAGACACAAGAGAAGCCTGCTATGTATAACTAATGGAATTCAAATGTTCATAATAACATCACCTGCAAGAATAAGGAGATGCTTGTGGATGCTCCTTTCACAGGCCAGGCCACAATACTGGTGTCTGGTATCCAGGCCAAAGATGAAACATCATTTGACAGATTATTTGGGCTTTGAATTCAATTGGTGTAGCTCCTGACCTTTTGTCTGCACACCATATTTCTTTCATTTCTGATAGGTGGACTTGAGTTATGACTCTCTGGGAAGTATGTTTGCTGAAGTGTGTAGGAGTATTTAACTTGGGCATTCTTATAATTGCTGAATGTCAGACATCCAAAAGCAACGCAAAGGTTTGCAGCTATAATGCGCAATAGGTCTCCAGCTAAGGAGCTAACACTGGGCTTTGTTTGTCTTACAACTTGCCTTTTTGTATGAATCTTTTTAACAATGTCCTGGGAAGAGACACTTGAAACTTCAGCCAAAAGTTTGTTTTAAAAAAAACAATTGGGATAAAGTAGGGAAGAGTCTGAACTTCTGGCAGGTTCTTATAGTGATCTGTGCACCCAAAGGGCTAATCTCCCCTTACATCCTATGCTCCTCCTGCCATCTAGCAGCAGTAAGGTCACGCAAATGGAGTTGGCCCAGGGTGAACCCTTTAAAAATCAGTCCTCATATGTGAATAATGAGTATCTATAAAATGCTAGAAGTACTCAGGAAATATAAAGAACTTCTGTTACTCAAAAACATTTGGTGGCTTTTCTATGTACAATTATGCAGTATTTTGTTGAAGGTCGTTAAATGAGAGTGTGCTGTTACACAGTCATAAAAATATGACACAATTCATAGTCATGGTTATTATTCATACAAATGTGAAGTGAGAATTGATATAGTTTACTTTCCTTAAGCCATTTGCTCATTGGTATTGTATAGCTGGATATTATACTGCCATCTTGTGGGCATTCTGGTTATTGCATCATGTTTTTATGCATTCCCTCCCCTTGTGTGTACTGTTCCGCCCTTCTTCATGACGTGCAGCCTTTTGGCATCAAAATGGCTGACAGTAACATGGACACACATTAATCTGCTTGCATGCTTGGAAACATTACCATCTCTGACCTTCAAATACCATCTGTTCATTCATCTGCTGTATCCTGTTGTCTGCTGTAACCTGCATTCAAATAAAGCATGTGGATGAAAAGGTATTTGGTACATTGAGCTATCTGATAAGGATTGTCCACTGTGATTATATCTGATTATACATGCCAGGCATAGAGGTCTTAGCAAGGTATAAATCGCTAATATATCGCTAATATAACAATCGGAGTCAGAATAGAGAGATAAACTCAAACTGACCAGGATGCATGTAATCTATGCCTAGAATCCTAGAGCTGTCTACTGCTGCCCACAGTATGACATGCATCTGTCTACAGATTGCCATGTCTTGTTGCAGGATCCCACTTCTATGTCTGGGGAGTGTATTATATTACATTACTGGAGTGAATCACTGCTGGTGCATGACTAACAGGATATACAGTAAGTCTTGTAATTCACAGTAATGTGGAGGGCTGTAAAGACCTGCACTACGTAATTGCATGCCACCACTCTCAGCAAGGCAAGGTGTAATAATGAGTGAAATACACATCTCTGAACAGACTATCAATGAGGACATGAACTGTGTAAGCTGTGCCCAAAAAAAAGGAAAGCAGAGGGCCCAGAACTAGTATTTCAGCATTGATTGTGGGCTTCCTGCAACATAATATTTTCACTTTTACTGACTTACCATGCCTTGTTCTGCACTTTGTTTCTATGTGCAGGTGGCCATCCTGGTAGAGTAGCAGGTTTTTGCTTCCTCAGGCCTTCCCCCAACGACTCGATGAATGGTAATCATATGATTGATGGTGGAATATTCATGCATTGAAGGAGCAGTAGGAAAGGTTTATATATCAGGGATCCATTATGGAAGAAGGAAAAGCAGGAAGATCCCTACAGGTCCTCTGGTAGAGATTTTTCTTCAGCATGTAGAGCAGTGAGCAGCACAGTGGTGAGATCACAAAATCTCACTACTAATCTCATGATTAGACTAGCAGTAAAAAGCTGCAGTGCCTTAGATGATATTACGCTGCAGATATACAGCTATCTGATTTAAGACACAGGAAGTACACTACTATTTTTCAGGAGGAATTAAAGACAAAGGCTAAATCACCCAAGGTACTGCTAAGGCACAATTTATATTTCTTTATGTTCCCTATAGGATAACAAACCTTCACTTTAACCCTTACCAATAAACTCAAAGTGTGGCTGTAGTTCATATGCCCCTTTAACAAAAAGACAGGACACATCTATAGATATAGAAGCATAAAAAAGATACATGATTACAGCAGCAATACATTTATCTGCAGATGTTATTTGCCTTTATAAGTACCACAAACCTTCCAAGACTCTGCAACATATTTTATCAGCATATGTGCATTCTGTCTTCAATCTATCTTAAGATAGAATAACGTAATAACGACAGTCAGGAAACCATAACAGAATCATCTTTTTTTCTATCAAACCTTTATGCAAAGATAAATTATTTTTTAACAATACACATTCATAGCAATACACTTTAATGCAAGTAAAAAAAAAAGAACAATATGGAAGGGAAATAAAATACTAAATCAAACACCCTTATTGCAAACAATGTCAAACATACATAACATCTCTCAGTATAAATCTGAAAAGGAATTGTCCATTCCCTCAATTGCATGATAACGGAACAGTTTCAAACGGCAAAAAAAGCAATAGATTGTCGGGGCTTTTTTTTTCTAATGTAGCAAGACAAGGATTCCAGTTTGCTTATGAATGAAACATGAGTATTATAAAAGTGTTCTTAAAATGTGCCTCAAGGGGGAGCCGTTAGTTCTTCTTGCTGAACGGAATACTGATGCCGAGATAGAAAGTCATTCCAAGCCAATGCTTTAAAGTTTACTGATGCAGAAAATACATTGGGATATATTTTTTGTTTCTTGCATTATGGTGATACAAGTCATTGTTATATTTATACCTCCATGTTGATCTCATTCCTTGGGGCTTTTGAAATCCACAAGGTAGACTGGGTGGGACTGGTCTTTGTTCGTTCTTTGCTGTCAACAAGAGGGTAGTTATGTTTCAACAAACAAGAGAATTAGCTTACGAATTGTAGACATCATTATGATTGGAACTGTTCACTCCTATAATATGAACATGAGCTGTCAGTAGTGTTCTATTCCAATAGGTTACAGCAAAACAAGATAGCTTCTAGCATAGCTTCCAACTGTCCCTCATTTGGAACCAAATCCCTCTGCCCCCCTTTCCCACTCAGTTGTCCCTCTTTTTGGCCCAGTGTAAAGATCCCTATAAAAAATGATTATTGAATAATCAAAAGTGTTTTTCTGCACTAGACCTTTAAACTAGCCTTTAAGTTATTCAATGTGTTATTTTTAAAAGCTAAAATAAAGGAAAAGTAGTTATGAAGAAAAGCAAAATTGGGTTAAACCAGTTATTTTTTGCACAATAATCGTCATGGTGTTATTGGAGGCATGGCGGGAGCGTTGTTCTATAATGTGTATCTCTTTCCCCTCTCGCAAAGTTTGCTGGTATGCTTCCAAAATTGTGTTTAAGTTTACAAAGCACTCGCAGCCAAAAACAGGACCCCATACTACCTTTAATGGAGAAGTTGGGTGGCCATAAATCTGACCATTGAACGGGCATACATAAAGAAGTGCATTCAGCGTACATTTGGTAACAGTTGGAGAGGCTTCTAAGTTCCTTCAAGGGTGCTTTTGACAAGAACGTTACCTCCTTATGACTATGGATGAGTGAAATTAAGAGTATTCATCATGCCAACATTTTGGAAAGTTTTTTTTTTATTTTAGTGAATGGTATTGTAGGCATTACGATGAAGAATTAAGGTGAAGCTGGTTAATGGCTCCTAATAATTATGGAACTTGGATAAATCTAACCTGAACCTGTTTTTGTGCCAAAATATGCCTACTTGTTAGCTGTGGGCACTAATAAGACCAAATATTACATGAGGAACACTAATACAATTAAAATTCCTTCTCAAGAGATAAAGCTGCTCTGCCGCAAAAAATATACAACTCTAACCTAACTGTAAACCAAATGAACTCAAAAAAACTTTACTATCACCAGAACTAACAACTGGATAACTAATTTATCTGGAGGATACTTTGTGCGCCGAAGCAGTATGCACCCAGACATAACAATGCCGGATCAAAATTGTGGTGACTAAAGCTAGCAATCTATTGCAAAGTGCAGTAACCTACAGCAACTAATCAGATTTTACTTAAAATGAAGCTGTCACTCCTCTTTGTCACATGACAGTGCTTGGGCTTGGTGATTGGCCACTTAGGGCCCGAGCACTGCATTGTAATTGGAAATCACTGGTCCTCTGCAATAGAAGACACAGTATGCTCAACTCTCTGGTGGCCTGTGTTTCTTGCCTCTCCTCCGTCTCAGTGCTGAAGTCTCTTTTGCCTATTTGGCATTTCACACTTCTAGTAGTGATGTCAGGTACCCTCACTCTGTGTCCTCAGTCTCTTTTTCTATTTTAAAAGGAAAATATTAGGGGTCTGTTTAGATCCCTAATATTTCCCCGAAGCCCCTAAAAGTAAAGTAAAAAATAAAAAAAATATTTAATAAAAATGAATAAATATATACAAATAAAATTAAAAAGTTTATAATAAGTAAATAAAAATAAAATATTTGAAAAAGTTAGAATAAAAAACATTTTCGGTTTCGGTTTCAGCCTGACTTTTTTTTCATTTTGGTTTCGTTTCGGTTTTTATATTTTCCTTTCGGTGCACCTCTACTCACGCGTCTATTTATGAAACAAATTGCAGGGCCCTTCACCCTGTGAATATATGTGAACATTCATTTTGGATGAATAATGCCAAAAAAAATGAATGTTCTTAAAAGAGAACTATGGGGTAAGTGTTTTTCCATAGTTCTCTTAAGGGTCACGGGAGGACATACACTAGCAGCTCACGGTATACTGAGACCGCCGCAACCGGGAAGGATCCTGACATTACTGTCGAGATCCACCCAGCTGCGTGAGTGACAGCTGGCTCTGCCTATCTAGAGGCAGAGCCAGCTGTGCCCACCCCCACCCCCGTCCGTTCCTCCAGTCAACGCTGGAGGATCGGAGAGGGGAGGGGGGAATCCCTGCAGGGAGCCGTGAGTGACAGTCACATGATCGAGCCAACGTGTAACAGCTTCATGTCACACATCGGATCGAACTATGAGGATGAGTGATTTTCACTCACCTCATAGTACTCCTGTAATATCTTTTTTCCCAGTCTGAATGAAGTGTGTTGTAAAAATATATGATGGCCACTAAATGGTGATAAGCAGCATAGGAAATAAGTACTTATTTCTCAGTTGATCAGTTTATTTCAGCTGCTCTGAGAAACCCATTGCTTTTCAAAGGGTTTCGAGCACGGATGGCACCTGTGTGGCACATCCCACATTGGAAACCAGTGCCGAGGCGAGCTGTGAAGTCAAAAAGACAAAGGGAAAGAGAGCTGACAAGTGCTGCTGAGCATCAATGGCAGTGCTCTGATATGCGGGACTTCCCAGCAAAACAACCCTGTTTTTAATTAGCAGTGGGGGGTAGTTTCCACTATCTCTGACAATAGAAAACCTCTTTAAATATATTGGCAATGTTTACCTTTTATGTAGCATTTGAAAACAGCAGGTTCCGAAAGCCACCAGTATCAGCAGCAGCAAAGGGATGGTCGGTATAATGACGTAGATTAAATTTGGCATTAATCCTAGAAAATAACAGAAAAATATGAAAGCTCTATTTTTCCACCCTGTTGAGTATTACATGCCACAGGTTTTGTTTTGTTTTTGGGGGAGAGGGGTTAGGCATATTGATAATTAATAAATGATCAGCCACTATCACAGCTTTAATTACTGCTCTAGGAAACAGCCCACGCTTCGTGATTCCTTTAGGCTGACAGATACTGTATATTAAGGGAATATTTACTGCATGCTGCAGCTCTTATTGGAAAATGAAGTAAGCATTTTACTGACACAAATTAATTAGCTGAGCTGTCTCAAAATAACAGAAACAAATCACCTGTTTCTACTGCAGTAACATGAGAAGAGTCATCCGGCCTGTTGGTAGCATAGGTTCTTTCCGTTGTCACAGGGGATTGTGGGTCTGGAAATCATAAATTATGATAATATTATTTGTTTTAATATTATTATTATTATTATTAATACTTTTAATAATACAAATCATATTTTAATTTATTTTAGAGTACATAACTATA